GAAATTGTTTTAGTTCTGGGCTGATAGAGAATCCAGGGGCCATGCTTTCCAGGGTACCTCCAGTCTCAGTCAGACCATTAAGTCTGGTCTTCTTACTAGAATTTGAGTTCTGCACCCTGTCCTTCTGCTGCTCCATCAGGGACTCTCTGTTGTGTTCCCTGTCAGGGCGGTCATTGGTGGTAGCCGGGCACCATGTAGTTCTTCTGGTCTCAGGCTGATGAAGTCTCTAGTTTTTGTGGCCCTTTCTGTCTCTTGGGCTAATACTTTCCTTCTGTCTTTGGTGTTCTTCGTTCTCCTTTACTCCAGGTGGTTGGGACCAGTTGATGCATCTTAGATGGCTGCTTGCAAGCTTTTAAGACCAAAGATGCCACTCACCAAAGTAGGATGCAGAACATTTTCTTAATAAGCTTTGTTATGCCAGTTGACCTAGATGTCCCCTGAAAGCATACATCTAAGATAATGATTGTCTACTATCTAGTTAATGAATACCCGTCTTCCTCCTTCCTCACCCTCATAACCATCAGAGAATGTTTTCTTCTGTGTTTAAACATTTGCTTGGGTTCTTGTAATAGCGGTCTTATACAATATTTTTCCTTTTGTGACTGACTAAATTCACTCAGCATAATGCCTTCCAGATTCCTCCATGTTATGTTTCCCGGCTTTAATGTTCTTTATCGTTGTGTAGTATTCCCTTGTGTGAATATACCATAATTTGTTTATCCGTTCGTCTGTTGATGGGCACCTGGGTTGTTTCCATCTTTTTGCTATTGTGAACAGTGCCACAGTGAACATGAATGTGCGTGTATCTATTTGTGTGACGGCTCTTATTTCTCTAGGATGTATTCCAAGGAGCAGGATTGCTGGATCATATGGTACTTCTATTTCTAGCTTTTTAAGGAAATGCCAAATCAATTTCCAAAGTGGTTGTACTATTTTACATTCCCACCAACAGTGCATAAGTGTTCCAATCTCTCCACAGCCTCTCCAACATTTATTACTTTGTGTTTTTTGGATTAATGTTAGCCTTGTTGGGGTGAGATGGTATCTCATTGTAGTTCTGATCTGCATTTCTTTAATGGCTAATATTGCGAGCATTTCCCCATGTGTCTGTTAGCTGCCTGAATGTCTTCTTTGGCGAAGTGCCTGTTCATAGCCTTTGCCCATTTTTTAACTGGGTTATTTGTCTTTTTGTTGCTGAGGTTTTGCAGTATCTTGTAGATTTTGGAGATTAGACACTGATCAGATTTGTTGTAGCCAAAAATGTTTTCCCAATCTGTAGGTTGTTTTTTGACTGTTTTGGTGAAGTCTTTTGATGAACGTAAGTGTTTGATTTTTAGGAGCTCCCAGGTATTTAGTATCTTTTCTGGTGTTGTGCATTGTTACTTATGGTTTGTATTCTGTTTATGCCATGTATTAGGGCTCCTAGTGTTGTCCCTATTTTTTCTTCTATAATCTTTATTGTTTTCGATTTTATATTTAGGTCTTTGATCCATTTTGAGTTAGTTTTCATGCATGGTGTGAGGTATGGGTCTTGTTTCATTTTTTTGCAGATGGATTTCCAGTTACGCTAGCACCGTTTGTTAA